CTTTTGAATAGTGTCGATTGGGCACAGCGCCATGGACATACAGATAGATGCAATTGTCGATACTATGTTACACCAGAGGATATTAGGATGATCAAGAAGAGCATAAATGCGCTCATTTTTCCTGATGTGAAAGACAGTATCAGTGTGGACATACTATGCACATCAGAGCTAAAGGGAGAACATTTGTTTTTATCAGCCATTAAGTGATGACCAACCACTGATTATTGTAGTACAGACACCCTGGCACAAACAATTACCCCCGTAGGGCATGCTGGGACTTATGCAAATAGCCGCACCACTTCTGGGTTAATGCCGTTCGCTAATTTTAACAAGGATTACCCGCGTTATTCCTTGATTTTTGTTGTCGAAATGCTTAGGGCGCTTTACTTTATTATTCACATTGGTAGAAAAGTGCTTCAATACTTAAACGTTATGATTTATTTGAAATAACTGGGCGCTCCATTTGTTGGTGCCATTTTGAAATACGTGTCTGCGTCAGTGCGCATGTGGAAGCTTCGGATCTGCTAGGTCGTCATTTCGCCGCATTGTTCAAACGGATCGCACGCACATGCTGGATAATGGCAGCCTAGACCACGCTTGGTTTGTGCTACATTGACGGAACCCAGCGCCGCTATCGATGGATCTTAGCGTTTGGTGAAATATTTTTTTTCTCTTTTACATTGAAATAAAACTGTTAAACTGATTACGGCTTTTTCTCGTTTTTAAAAACTTGGGCTAAAATAGTTGTGCTTGTTTCACATTTTCTCTTGTTTCGCTCGGGTATGCCTCTACTTAAGTATTGTGTCTCTAGTTAAAAGTTAGGGTCTTGTGTCGTTTGTGCTTAAAATATGGTGAAATGTAAGGGGTTTAAGTGCTTTCTTTTAAAAACTTGCCTAAAATATTTGTGCTTGTTTAAGCTGGGTTCTGCATGATATAATGAACACAGACATTGTTGAGCACCAAAGAGTGGGTGACAGTTATGTGCCCCTTTTACACAGCATATATATTGTGGGGCAGCACAACTCGTTGGTCACAATATCGGATGACAGGATTCATAATGTGTCACTCTGCTAGAACCACACTGATAATATCGTCATCAAGTCTGATCAGAACAAGGCAATACCCTTTCGATATGAAAAAACAATGGCAAAGTTGCATTTCAGGCCCGCTAAGCAAAATTACCCTCAATAATGCTGAGTGCCGACAATTTTTCAGTCCAGCATAGATACTGTNAAAACAATGGCAAAGTTGCATTTCAGGCCCGCTAAGCAAAATTACCCTCAATAATGCTGAGTGCCGACAATTTTTCAGTCCAGCATAGATACTGTATGTGGAATACTACAGGACCCAAGTGGGTAACAGAGCCAAGTGGGCTCTGGTCTCATTGTGTTGTCACTTGGAAAAACAGCAAAGACCCCACAGGGGGTTGAAAAACAAACATTAAATAACACAGGGTATCAATCAAGAAAGTCACAGTTGTTAAAAAGTTGCAAGAGAAGACGACCAAAAAAAAGCACAGAGAAGAAGATATGTTTTCTGAAACATGGCCTTGTTACATAGCATGTCAGCGGAGTGCATGAAGTCTGAACTGGACATTTTTGCTGTACTTTTCACTCAAGCGAGTATCGATAAAAATACATATGTGGAAGTGCCACCACTCTCTGCCTTAAAAGAACACACTGCCTGGTCTGCAAAAAATTGACTTCCCATGTTAGACTTTCTGAATAGTTGTTGGGATGTCTGACCAACAGGATGGGAGAGTGTTTGATATTTTCTCTCTCTTGACTTCTCAATCAGCCAATAACAGTACATCCCCAGAAGTCAAGTTGAGAACTACTACTTTAATTTTGGCTGATTGAGAGGTCGTCCCAAAAACCTGCACCCACAGTGGCTCTCCTTGGATTAGGTTCGTCCCCCCTATACTAGACATAACCGAGCTGATTTTCACAGCAGAACAAAACTGACCCAGATACAAAATAGGATAAACAATACTAAATCACTAGAAAAAAACAGAAAACCAATAAACAAGAGATGCTGGCCTCTAACTCAAGACTGCAGGGTTATAGCCAAGGTGCCACACACTCAACCCATTGAGCTATTTGGCGACCCAAAGAAACAGAAGAAAACACACAAGGTTTGACAAGGAGTGACAGAACGGGATGGCCAGTGACCCCTACTGGACAAATGGGGAAGAGACACGAAGGGTAAGGTCGGACAGATGCTGACCGACCCTGACATTGGTTGCTCTGATGCGGACGTGACAAAAACACCTTACTGTGCTGATTGGTTGATTGATTATTGAGTTACACCTGTCCCTTGTTTGCCCTTATTTTATGTGTGTATTTAAGTGCCTGCTTGGTTCTCCAGTGAGTCATTGTATTAAGTGTTGTGTATGTTGCTCTGTGAATGTTACTGTGTAGATGTTACCCTATGTGTCCCTGCCCAGTTTCTTTTGTAGCTTGGTTCTCAGGTCCACTTGTAGTGTTTTCCTCTCTTTGGTTCTCACCCTTTATGGTCCTGT